TAAGTCCACCTTCTCTTCTCACCCTCTCGCCAGCTGACTTCTCAGACTACGACAGAGAGAGACAGAGTTGTGACTTGAGACTTGACGACATTGGACCCAGACTGGACATTGGGATTCAGACATTTCGACGAGGGACTATTTGGGCCTGTACCGAGACTTGGTGTTGACGACATTCCCATCTTCCCTCCTCTTTCGTCTAACCCCTCCTTCTTCGTCTGTGTATGGTTGGGGCTGGCGCAGTCTTCTTGTGTGAAGCGCCAGACCCCTTCACACCAGATAATGATGATGATGATGTGTGTTCAGGGCTGCATTGCAATATGGATTGTTCGGATTATTGGTATCTAAGTCTTCCGCTTGCGCCATCTTGTACTTTGTATTGAGAGGTCGGTTCTTGTTCTGGTCTGCACGTTACAGTATGCAACATCTGACCTGTCTATTCGTAACGGTTGTTGGAGTGTCGTAGGGTCTATAGGTTGTAGGGGTTCGATCTGTAGATCTGTCGGGTAGAGGTCTTAGGAGTTCTAGAAGTCGTAGCTTCAGGACTTCTGAAAGGTCAAGGTCGTAGCTGCTACAGTCCTGAAAGGTCAAGGTCGTAGCTGCTACAGTCCTGAAAGGTCAAGGTCGTAGCTGCTACAGTCCTGAAAGGTCAAGGTCGTAGCTGCTACAGTCTCAAAGGCCAAGACTAAACCTTCCGGAAGGTCCTAGTATTGGCCTTTCTAAGTTGCTCACGTTTTAGACAGAGGCAAGTGGGCAAGTGGTGGAGTCTACCCGTGCTGAGTCAGCAGTCCCAGTCCCAGTCAGTCCTACCGTCTTCCCCCCAACACAACGCACCCTTATTTTGGCTGTATCTGGCCGGAAATATAGCTTGTATACATTCATTTTTAGGGTACGTTATGTTCGGGGGAAGACAGTAGTCTAGTCAACCAAGTACCGTACGGGACTGCGTAAGCCATGCGGAAGCCCTGCCACAGTGACTTGTGCGAGGTGGTCTGCAGTGAGCCCGAAGACAAAGTGGCCGAGAAGGAAGCTTAGCCATAGCGATAGGGTAGCAGCGGTCATAGCCGCCATAGCTGATAGGAGAGAGAGAAGCGTGTGTGAGTGTGCGAGTGTACAGTGTGTTGCGTGTGGGATATCCAGGGTGATCCTGTTTGCGAACAGCAGTGTTGAGTAAGTGACGAACAGAGAGTTGTACAGGCGATGTGGCGCCATAGCCATTTGAAGTGAACTTGTATCTGAGCTGTGTTCTTGGTGGGCCGTTCGGTCTGAAATTTGGACCACATCAGCTCCACAGCGTAGACCACCGGTGGTCAAAGTTTCAGCTCAGGGCGCGCGCCCAATCGCGCGCAATCCTCGAGCGCGCGCTTATTTTCCTTGCTGTGTGCTGTTATCCGACGCTGCTCCTCTCCGTGGTGACCTTGATTGATTCTGCCGGGGTGCAGCGCTCCCGGTAGCGCTGCGCCCCCATCTCGACTAGTTCTCAGTTGGTAAACCCACTGCGCCCCGAGTCTCCGGTAGGAAATGCTGATCTCCTCCTTAGTCTGGTTTATTCCCTGTATATGTGTGTGTGTGTGTGTGTGTGTGTGTGTGTGTGTGTGTGTGTGTGTGTGCGTGCGCCGGGGGGAGGACCCCTCCCCCACCAATCAATCAATCAATCAATCAGTCAATCAAAAAATCAATAAATTAATCAATCAATCAGTCAATCAAAAAATCAATAAATTAATCAATCAATCAATCAAAAAATCAATAAATTAATCAATCAATCAATCAAAAAAATCATCAAATTGAATCAATCAATCTTTTTTTTTTTTTTTTTTGGACACACAAAAACCACCTCCCCGAAAATCTTCTTTTGAAACTTTTTTTTGGTTCAAGGGGGTACGGTCGGGGTTCCGGAACCCCAATCCGCAACCCCCATCCCCAATCCCCTCTCCCCTCGGCGGCCGTGGGGGATTCATAGAGCCCTGGTACCTACAACCAAAGTTCGGTCAGGTCACCCCAGACTGGAGGGTGACGATCCTGAGTCGTGGACACTGAGGTAGGATAGTGGGAGTAAGAGTGCGAGGGGATAAATTACGAAAGAGGTAGGTTGGGAGGGAGTCCCATAGGATTAGGGGGCCTCTACTGCGTGGCCAAGTGCCAAAAAGAAAAAAGAAAAAAAGATTACAGTCCTACACTATATTAGTATATTCTTCTCTTCTTTTTTCTTTTTTTCCTACATACTCACGAGACTCCCATCCTACCACCCCTCTCGATATATCTCCTGGCGCACCCCCACTCCTTTTCTATCTTCCCGCTACACCCAGTAGGGATTGTATTCTTCTCGCAACTTCTCTTTTCACCTTTCACTACCTACCTACTCTGAGTTCTGAGTGGGCGCTTGACGCCAGTTTGCTGCGTAACCTTTTGCATGCATGTGAAGTGTGAAGGAAAGTGAGTCTGATTGTACACACACACACACACACACACACACACACACACACACACACACACACACACACACGCGCGCGCGCGCACGCACGCACGCGGGGCAAATGCCTGTGTTTTGTGCTACCAGATTCCTTTTTTTCCCTTTTTTTTTGCTCATTTTTTTTCTGTTTTTTTTTTTTTTATCGTTTTAAAGGCTGAAAAATAGAAATAGAAATATGGGGTTGTAGATCTTTTTGTGATCTACAACCCCATCTTTTTATTGTTTTTATTTTATTTTTCACTCCAAAACCACCATCGTACGGCCGTACGCCCGTCTGTCCGTCCATTCGGACGGGCCTTACGTGGACCCGCCGTTCTAGCTGGATGTCCTCCATTCTTGGTGGCGGCAACTCGGTAAAGGAAAACAAGAAGAAAGGGCAATGGTGGCCTCCTCCAACTTTTTACTCGGTCTTTTCGAACACCTTTTTTCCACGCGCCCATATTTGTCTACCTGTCGATTCATGCATACGCTGACAAGTGTGACCTTGTGCTTCTGGATGCTTTCAGATTGGCCGATCAACCTGGTCAGCCTCTTCCCGCCATGGCTGGGTGTTCAAGAAAAGGTACCGCAGTTAACGATCACGTACCGAAAGAGCTTAGACTACTTGGACACCTTGGTGTGCCGGTTCGTGCAGACAGAAGCAGGCACTGCCTCTCCTGACCTGCCGGAAGCTGCAAACGTCACAGGAATTGACATTTCACCAGCGTCTCTTGGGACACAACTGAACACCATTACATGCCCTCCTCCTTCTGCCGGTCATCTGGCGGATGCTCTTGTCGACGTTTCCCTCAACAAAGAGTCGTACACGGATCACCCCTTACTCCTTTACTACGTTGGTAAGCAATTGCAGTGTTGCTGTTGCTCTTCTTCCATTCCTTCTTTCTTT